CCAGATTTACGATTCAAAGAAACTTCATCTTTAGCATATATGTTCACCTCCATGTAAGTCAATTTTTGGTTTCATAACAATTTGTATATTTCCACATTCCTTTGCTTGTAGTAATTTATAAAATACGGCTGAAGATGGACTTTTATAAATTGGGAACATGTCCTGTTGAACGACTACATTATTATTAAAGTTTTGAAGATGACTTCGAGCTTTCCTTCCTTCTTTTGAAAATTCTACTCCACTTTGAGCAAACATGGACTTCTTCCAGAGATTAAACAATGCTAGTCGAGCAACCTTGGTTCATTTCTGCAAGAAGATACTGCTACAGAGAAAGATAACATGTCTAGACATTTGGTTCAACAGAGAATGTCTACATCAACAACTCATCCCAGGATATATCACTTCACGTTCTATTGCTGCCAACTACTCATCAAGAAGAGCAATCCAATCAGCCCAACGTATTCGGATCAAGGAAGAGATTGAACGTCATTATGTACGTTTATCAGATAGCAACAACAAGTTAAGATGGTTGTTCAATATCCTCTCATCTTTTTCACACAGTTGTGAGCTAGAGTCAATGTATTCTCAATTCCTTGATTTAGTTGGAGATCAAGGCTGGTCAAAACACATAATTTAAAAAAAACGAGCTTTCCAACCTGAAAATTATCCAATATCCCAGTAACCAACATATTCAATCTGATGTTCCGAAGTATTTTGATCACACATTTCATGCTAGAGTTCTGAATTTATCTACTGTCAATTTTCAGATACAGAAACTCATTTTCCTAATGAGGGTTTGAAATACAATATCACAAAAAACAAACATATTCCCAGTTATGAGTTACTATCTGTTCGATGTCAAAAGGTTATTGAACAGAATTGGGTTCCTAACAAGGGTTTGATAAGGAGTGAGATTGCAAGAGCTTTGAATAATAATTTTATTATTCAGTCCAATAATTTTGATGACATTTATGATTTTCAACTTCCTGAAAATGTATCCAGAAAAATTGTTCATAATCAGCTGATACTCACCAAAGCTGACAAAGGGAACTGCCAAGTTATCTATTCAATAAATGAAGTTGATCAGTTCCTGGATTCTGATAGTTTAACTGAATTACGCTCAGACCCCACTTTGAAATTCTTCAACAATATGAAAATTCTGTTCAACTCTTGTATAGAAACTTTCACATTTTATCATTTCTCTAAACTGGCGTTAACCCTCATGAACCCTTCTACCCCTTCACTTTATGGTCTTTCTAGGATCCATAAAGGAGGTGTCCCTATTCGCCCTGTTGTCTCTTTTTGCAATTCTCCAGCTTTCAATCTGTCTTCTTGGCCAGATTCCGTGATTAGAGATTTCACAGATTTCAGTAACTCTTTGTCTTCGAAAAATTATTTTGATCTAACGTACAAAATTGAGAATATAATTATTCCTCATTGAATTCAAGTGTCATTAGATGTAGTTAACTTGTTTCCTTCAGTCCCTCCAGATGATTGCATTTTACTTGTCCGTCAACTTCTGTTCAATGCGAATATCCCCATGTTGCATTGTTTGAATATATTGTTATGATTTGTGATATATTTCAGTTTGAGAATTTTTTTTTTCATACCTGGCTATGAAAAACTCTATTCCATTCCTGCAGTATTTACCTTTTTAGTTTCACCTTTTCAATCAAATCGGCGACACCTTCGCAGAGATGATCGTCTTTACCTCAGAAGGGTTGCAGGTAGGCCTTTTTCGTTACTTGACAGATTAGTTCACACAAGCATATGACATGCTCTCAGTCGGAGCAGATACGATCGCGAAGACCATATGAAACGACTGCGGATTATATATAACGAGTACAACAGGAAAATGGAGATACATCGACTACATCGGTCTGCACACTGCTTTAATCTAACATGGATACTATTGAAGCAGATCAGTTTACAGAGACCATTTTAGACGAGATCGGAAGCGAGGGTAACGCAAACAACAGGCAGAACAAGGAACTTCGACTATATTCACACTGTGACTCTGAATTCTAGCATCTGAGATGCATACATTTGGAGCAGATACGATCGCACTGACCATATCAGATGACTTCGGAGGGAATATAATGAGTACAATAGGCGGATGAAGATACATCAACCCCATCGGTGTGCACACTGAATCTTTTTATTTCATCATTCCACATGGATATTATTGGAGCAGCATGAATCGCAAAGACCCTATAAGACGACATTGAAGCATGTATAACGCACTCAACAGGCAAAACAGGAAACTTCGACTATGTTCACACTGTGACTCTTCATTCTAGCATTTACATACATACAGTTGAAGCAGATACGATCGCAGTGACCATATTAGACGACCGCGAATAGCATATAACGAGTACAACAGGCGAAAAAATATACATCGACTTCATCGGTCTGCACACTGCATCTCTGTATTCTCACATGGATACTATCGAAGCAGATCAGTCCAGAAAGACTATATAGGACGACATCGAAGCGAGTATAATGCGCACAACAGGCAAAACGAGAAACTCCGACGTCGACTATGTTAACACTGTGACTCTGCACTCTAGCATCTGACATGCATAATGTTGGAGCAGATACGTTCGCACTGTCCATATGAGTCGATTTTGGAGGATATATAACGAGTTCAATTGGCGAATGATTACTCATCAACTTCATCGGTGTGCTCACTGAATCTCTCCATTCTATCATTTCACATGGATACTATCATAGCAGAATGGATCACGAAGACTCTATAAGACGACATCAAAGCGGGTATAACGCACACAACAGGCAGAACAAGGAACATCGGCTCCGACTGAGTTTATACTGTGGCTCTGCATTCTAGCATATGAAATGCATTCAGTCGAAGCAGATTCGATAGCAGTGACCATATGCGACGACTGCGGATGGCATATAACGAGTACAACAGGCGAAAGGAGATACATCGACTACATCGATCTGACATGCATACAGTTGGACCATATGAGTCGACTTTGGATAATATATAACGAGTTCAATTGGCAAATGGAGATACATCAACTCCATCGGTGTGCACACTGAATCTCACTACTCTATCATTTCACATGAATACTATTGGAGCAAAATGGATCGCAGAGACCCAATTAGACGACATCGAAGCGATTATAACGCACACAACAGGCAGAACAAGAAACATCGGCTTCGACCATGTTCACACTGTGAATCTGCATTCAAGGATCTGACATGCATACAGTTGCCACATGTCAATATGAAACGACTGCGGATGGCATATAACGATTACAACAGTTGAATACATCGACTACATCGGTCTGCACACTGCATCTCTGTATACTATCATCTCACATGGAAACTATTGAAGCAGTAGGCAAACTGGGGATATTAATGACTTCGAATTGCAGCTGGATGGTTATAATGTTCTACGGTGTG